AATTTAAACCACAATTTGAAATTCAAAGAAATTTAATAATTTTTTTATTACTGTTGACTAAACAAATTTAACGGATATGACAGCTATCAAACACTGTATTGCTATTATTTGATATACTAAATTAATATTCAAATTAAATTAACTGCTAATGTAATAAAGCTTCCTATACTTAATATGTGATTGATTACAAGAAATTGGGATAACTTAAATTGTGAAAAAGTTAGAACGTTTAAATTTAAAATAAAGTGAAAGGCAACAGACAGATCAAAATAATATGTTTGACAGTTATTACAAAAAAAAATGGAAGAGAAAGTGACGCAAATAAAACATCACATTGACAAAATATATGTCTACAAATGCTAATCCAACTTAATACTTATAAAAATTTAATATATAACCTTTTATTAACTTAAAAAATGCGTTTACAAGCATAGTTATACGCAAGATAAAACATGCACGTAAAATGTTCAAATTCACTACTAGTGGATCAAATCTAATCCGAACAAATTACCATGCTGGATTGATGAATAAGCTGAGCAACTTTACTCATTCATATTTTTTTTAACATTAACCTTAACTGTTTGTTTTTTTTTACAAAAATTTGCATATATGTAACTGATCAACTGCTTTGGTAATAATAATAATAATAGTAATTCTGTCAATGCATAGATTTTTCAGATCGCTTATGCATAAATACATCTTCTTCTAACAATCTATTTGTTTCATTAATAATTATTTCAATTAAAACATTAAACTGAACTAGCAATTTTCAAATTAGATTCAAAAACAAATATAAATTGATGAATTACATTTATTACTCATAAAAACTTAATCCAAATTAGCAATAATTAGAAAAATTATGCATGAAAATGGTTACTTTTTCATTTCGATGGTTTCTATACTTTTCAGAAAGTCATATTACTTCACTTTTATGAATAATATAATTCATCGATAAAACGTATAAACGAGTAATTAATCTCATGATATTATGAATACAATTTAAAAGAACAAGAATGGAACTGACCAAAGTATTCTTCTTGAGAATTAATTAGAAATTTGAGTTCAGTACTAAGCTTTATTAGTTCAAACTTGCCAAGCTTATTTAGTAAGCACCTTTTGCATTAGCTTTTATTTTCATGCAAGTTTGATTATTAATAACTAAATTTATGGTATTTAAAAAAGATCAACAAATTCGTTCATTAGAATCGTCCATTTAAATTATAATCGAATTGTCATAAGTATTAGGCTTACTAGGTCTCTCCAAGCATTAAAACTTGTTTTATTTTTGTAAAATTGATAAAGCTCTATGGTAAAAGTAACCTTCACGTCAAGCTAGCTGCGCAGCTTACCGAACTTTTTCAGTAGACATTTTATAAAATGAAAGATGCAACATTTTTAATGAATTTATACTTAATTTTGTTTATAAAATGACATTTTGGAAGGAAAATTATCGTGTAAATTAAGTTTAGAAAGTGTCTTATTCACTTAAAATCCTATGAAATAAAAAGTGAACCTTCATACTTTCGTCAAATTTAAATAAAACTGACCGCATTATTTCGAATTTTATCATTTGCATTACAGCTATCATAAGTTATATCAAGTTCAACTTTGAATTTTCATCAGTAAATCAATTTCAATTGTATAATACAATCTTATTTGAATGACAGAAACAAAGCAATTGCTGAATGACTAGGACATACGGTAGCTTAGACTGCAAAGAATTTCCTACTTAGAAACGTCATAATCTTCGAAATAATCTGATCATATTTTACATATTTTTGATGAAGAATACAGTTATTAAAATCTAACAAACACTTCAGTCTAACTTTTTGAAGTTATATGAGTTTGCCTCACTAAAATTTGTTATACTTAGTAATGGTCTGAGGATGCATTTGCGCAGTAAAATTTGATATCTTAAGCAGGCAGATGCATGCAGTACACAAAATAAATGCAAATTTGAGCCAAACCAAGCGAGAAACTTGAGTTTGGAATGAAATCTATTCACGTACAAACGTGTAGTATCATATCTCGCTTCAATATAAATACTCTTTTTTTTACCATATCTCGCTTTAATGTAAATACGAAACGAGATAAAATGCCTGAAATAATAAAATTATAAAAATGATACCTGTGTAATTGCAGAAACAGCGGCAACAGTATTATTGCTACTGGTAGCGTAGATTGTTGACGTGGTCGTACCACTTAATCCTTCGGTGCTCATTAGCTGACGAAAAATGCAAACACAAATATCATTGCTTTGTTTCTAGACAAGAATTAAACACCAAAAGTGTTTAGCAAGTAATAAATGAAAGTAAGAATGATTGAATGAATAAGTTTAGTAAGTGATTCTGAGCCAATTAT